GGCGCCCGCCACAAGGCCTGGCTGTTTTTTGGTTGCAGCTGTCATTTTTGTTTGGTGCACCTGGGCTGGATTTGAACCTACCAGCTCAGGTGTATGTGGCTGGGTTCTTAGCCGCTTGAGCCACAATATTATAACCTTTAATGCCTCAATTTCCTCATCTATAAAATAGACATACAGGCTGTCCATAAAGTCTGTGTGCAATTTTTTTTTTTTGTGAGACAGAGCCTCACTATGTCTCTCCTGGTAGAGTGATATGGTGTCACAGCTCACAGCAACCTCAAATTCCTGTGCTTAAGTGATTCTCTTGCCTCAGCCTCATGAGCAGCTGTGACTACAGGTGCCTGTCACAACACCTGGCTATTTTTTGGTTGTAGCTGTCATTGTTGTTGGTTGTTGGCAGGCCCAGGTTGGGCTCAAACTTGCCAGCTCTGGAGTATGTGGCTGGCACCCTAGCCACAGAGCTACAGGTGCTGAGCCTTCTTTTTGAGACAGAGTCTCACTATGTCACCCTCGGTAGAGTGCTTAACAGACCCTGTACATCCATTTTATAGATAAGGAAATTGAGGCATAAAAGGTTATAATATTGTGTCTAAGAGCACCTAGCCAGTAATTGGCAGAGTGAAAATTTGACCCAGGAAGTTTGACTCCAAAATTTTCATTTAAATTTTCCAATGTTCAAAATAGATTATGAGAATCACACAGGGTGTCCATGTAGTTCGTGTGCAATTTAAAATCGCAAACTATGGCTTGGAGTCTCAAAATTAACTAATAAAACATATAAAATCTAGGAATAGATTGAGACATTAAAGGCTCAATAAATGTTAGCTATTGTCTGTTGTGTACTGTATTTCATGGAAATCATTTCAAAGGTCAATTTTTTAAAATCCCAAATAATATACATTCACAATTTGGAGCACTTAACATTGTTATCCCCAGAAAACTCTCATTCTCAAAAATATTATCCATTTAACACACTAACTGGCAATTCCAATTTTATGTCAAAGACTCCTACCACAATTTTTTTTTCTGTTCTCTATTATTAAACAATCCAAGGCTAGGCTTGGTGGCCAACTTATAATCCCAGAACTTTTGGAGACCAAGGTAGGAGGACTGCTTGAGTCCAGGAGTTTGAGACCAGCTTGGGCAACATAAGCAAGATGGTGTCGCTACCAAAAACTTAAAAAAAGAAAAGAAAAGAGAAAGAAAATACCCAGGCATAGCAGCATGTGCTTGTAGTTTCATCTACTTGGAAGCCTAGGGTGGGAAGATCACTTAAGTCCTAGAGTTAGGGAACTACAGGGAAGCTATGACAATGTGTCACTATACTCCAACCTGGGTAACAGAGCAAGCCCCCATTTTCTCAACTGAAAAAAATAAATAAATAAAAAGAAAACCTCAGTCTAATGTTCCTTTACATTCAATACCAACTCTGAAGTAAAAGTGTTTATGAATTCTAGGTTGAATTACTAAAATGTCTACATTCTTTATACTAAAACAAACTACTCTTTTTACTGAGCCTGCCATTAAGCATTAGTTATTTTTTCATTTTTGAGACATAGTTTCACTATGTCACCTGTGGTACAGTGCCATGGCATCACAGCTCACAGTAACCTTAAACTCTTGGGCTTAAGTGATTCTCTTGCCTCAGACTCCCAAGTAGCTGGGACTACAGGTGCCTGCCACAAAGCTCAGCTATTTTTTGGTTGTAGTTGTCATTGTTGTTTGGCAGGCCCGGGTTGGGTTTGAACCCGCCAGCTCTGGTGTATGTGGCTAGCACCCTAGCCGCTGAGCTACAGGCGCTGAGCCTCCATTAAGCATTATTAATAACACAGTAAACCCTTAACAACCATTCGGAATAGTCTAAAAATTAGTATTAGCTATGATTTTTATCTTACCGATTTTTGGGGAATGGTCGACCCATATTCATAGCAGCAACATTTGTTTTATAAGATCCTGGTGAATTAAAGCCATTCATAAAACTACCATTGGGAAAGGGAGCCTAGAAGAAAATGTTAACATTTATATAATATTAATGGTAAAGGCAAAAATCTGGTGCGAAGGTCACAAGGACCTCCATGTGGCAATGTACCATCAATTTTTCATAAGTCAAAAATAACTAAAAATACTTTAATGATCCATTTTTTACAATATTCAAGTACCACTAAATTTAGGAATAATAAATCACTAGTTCTTTACTTACCGAGGAATATTCCTCTCTGCCAGTATTTCTCAGTACTAAAAGTCATTTGAAATCATTCAGAACTTATCTACTCTCGTCTTTCAATTCACTCAAACTTATGAAATAAAATTATAGAAACTAATAGCTCAACTCTGAGTCATAAGCATAATTTGGTATGGAGCTTAATACTATAAGTTATAATTACTTGTAAATTGTAAGTCAAAAAGAAACCAATGTCAACAAAAAACTGCTCCACCTGATTTCTTCCAATTTCAGCTTGCATTAAAATTTCATTATTTTATATTTTATTATTCGATAAAGATCTCACTTACCAGTGGTGTTTCAAAGTAAGGTGCAGGATTTGGAGACCAAGACTGAGGCACAATACTATAGACTGAGTACTGCTGATGAGGATTATATACAGGCTGCATAAAGACTGGTGAGGCATACTGTGCTTGAGTATGAATGGGCTGACTATACAAACTAGAATCCATTAATCGATAACCATTCTTAGCAAAAAATGTGTTGATGGCTTTTATCCTTGCCTAGAAACAAAAAGAACACATTAGAGTAACAAAGGATTAAATGTACATTTTACAAATATATTAATTTACATTTCATCGTATTTTACATGACTATGCTGTTTCTCCCTGTTATAGAATCAGTAGAACAAAAGAAAAGGAAATGCCACCTTTAATTAAGTTATAATAAAAATGTCTGCATGGAAAAAACCACAATAAACAAAGTAAATCAAGCCAAAATAGTAAAACTAACAGTAACTTACTAGTCAAGGGTGTTAATATCCATATTATATACATTATAGAAATAGATGTGAAAAGGCCAATAATCCTACAGAAAAATGGATTAGAGAAATCAACAGAGTTCACAGAACAAAGGTAGGCACCAAATGACTTTTGCATAGGAAACAGATGTTAAACCTTACTCATATGAGGAGTGCAATTAAAAATCGGGGGTATGGTAAAAATGCTCAAAATCAATAGTTATTAGAGAAATGCAAATAAAATCATGATACCATCCCATGTCTGTTAAAATGGCTTTTAACAAAAAGACAAGCATTAAGTATTAGAGAGGAAATGGAGAAAACAGAACACTTGTACACTATTGGTTGGAATGTAAACTGGTAGAGCCACTATGGAAAATACGTAGTTTCTTTAAAAATTTAATAGTGCTATCATATATGAACCAGTAATCCCACTAGTGGGTATATATGCAAAGGAAATAAAAATCAGTATATCGAAGAGTACTGTACTCCTGTGTTCACTGCAGCATTATTCACAATAGCCAGGATATGGAAACAACCTAAGTGTTCATCAACAAATGAATAGATCAGGGAAATGTGTGTGCATACATGCATGTGCACACACATACATGGAAGAGTATTATTCAGCCTTAAAGAAGGAAATCCTTTCATTTCTCACAACATGAATGAATCTGGAGGACATAATGCTAAATGAAATAAGCCAGGAAATAAAGGCACATACATACTATATGATCTCATCACTTTATGTGAAATCTAAAAATGGTGAGCTCACAGAAATTGAGAATAGAATGGTAGTTGACAGTGGCTAAGAATGGGAGAAGAGACGATATGGGGAGATGTTGGTCAAATAATACAAAGTTTAAGTTACATAGGAGAAATAAGTTTAGGAGATTTATTGTACAAGTAACAATATTTAATAATAATGCACCGTATACTTGAAAATTGCTGAGAGTTCATGTCAAAATGTTCCCACCACCAAAAAATAAGTATGTATGTGTTAACTAGCTCAATTTATTCATTTCATAATACATACATACGTTAAAATCTCACATTGCACACTGCAAATATATGCAATTTTTATTTGTCAACCATACCTTAGTAAAGCTGGCGAAAAGAGAGAGGCTCATGACTATTCAATAATTGAGAAAGGAGGAAAATTCTCCCTCTGCCCAATAGCCCATCAATGTTAGAATATACTATGGTGCATTCATACAATTGAGTATTATAGGAATATAGAAAAATAAACGTTCTAAATAGTTCTAAATATTATTAAAGAGAGATTTTCAGAAAACAGTTAAGTTTAAAACAAACAAGGCAAAAAGATGAAAAGTACATATAGCAAGCTGTTGTTAGTAATTAAGATAGGGATATGACATACATGAGTATATAACGTTCTATGCTTTAGATATTTTATTTATTTTTTAGAGACAGAGTCTCACTTTATCACCCTCAGGAGAGTGCTGTTGCGTCACAGCTCATAGCAATCTCCAGCTCTTGGGCTTAGGTGATTCTCTTGCCTCAGCCTCCCAAGTAGCTGGGACTAC